CAGCAATCAAAGATAACTTCTCTAGAAAAAATTATAGATACACCACATTTTTTTTTCCTTTTTAAAGAAGCAGAATAAATCACCGGGTATTTTTTTAAAGAACTATCATTTTCTAGCTTCCCCTAACCAGTGGGTTTCCTGAATAAACCCTATTTGGATTTTCTGATTCACCAGAGTATTAAACAAATATCCTCATTTAAGAGTAGAGTTGAGGCCCTTGGGCATTAATAGTTAGGATTCTAACCATCAGTCAATCTATATTTCTTTTTAGGGCTCCTTGACCACATCTGCAACACATATGACCAGTTAGACATACTACACACCTGACAATACAACAATAAAACAATGAAAACTACATAAACTTCTGGAATACCAAAAATAATATTCCACATACTGAGAATCCCATAGACTCCCACAGGAAAAAGCATGGGATCACGGACTTTCTTATAACAAGAAAAAGAAAACGGAGAGTAGATTACTGTATCCCTAACACTATAGTTCCCTGCTACCTATTTTGATGCCCTCCCTTTTGGTGCGTTTTACTTTCCTTTCAACCATTACCACGATGTTCTCTGCCCCCCTCCCCTTCCCCCATGTGTCTCACACCTCCTCCCCTCCTGTGTCTGCCAACCTTGTAGTAGGGGTGAGCTGCGGGTAGAGGATCTTCAGTTACCTCTACCCAGACTGACAGAATGTTCTCAGTGAGAACACTTCCTGTCAGTCTGTGTAAAGAAAACTGAAGATCCTCTACCCGCAGCTCACCCCTACTACAAGGTTGGCAGACACAGGAGGGGAGGAGGTGTGAGACACATGGGGGGAAAGGGGGACAGAGACACTGGGAGTGGGGATAGACGCTTTAAGAGCTGATTGTGCTCCCTGGGCAGTTCTTGTGGCCAATATGGAAAGGCAGGTGTACTTGATGCCAGTATTGGAAGGCAGGTGCACTCTATTAGAGTGCCTGCTACTTCCATTAGATCAGTGAAGCTAACGGAAGTAGGAAGTGAATCTCCCCAACTGTTTAAGGGGGGAAGCATTTCCATTTTGAACTATAAAAGTGCTATTGTCACTACTGTGTTTTACACCCTACCTCCTATAAACTGTAAGCTCGTATGAGCAGGGTCCTCTTTAACCTACTATGAGGGAGACCCTGGTGAGGTCTCCTTGCATGCCTCTCTACTCGGTGATCGGTGCTGGGCTTTGCATCTGCACAACATTGATCAGTTTTAAGACCTGCAGCATGAGAGGTCATTAAGGGATTAAGCTAAATTTCTTTTGGTGCTTTGATGTGCATATAGACCATACCCTAACTTACCTAAAGCAAATAATACATATTAACAAGTTTACAATTTAAAAAAATAAATTGTATTCCTAACCTGAAATACCTGAAAGATTTATGATACACATTATGAGTAATGATAAAAAGTGCAAACATGTTCGTTTGTACCCCACAACCAAGTAATTTTTAATTGATAAAGATTAAGAAAAAAGACAGTATTGTGGGGTAAATGTGTAAAAGGAGTAATTGAGAGAAAGGTAATACAATTGTGGGAAAAGTTCTTAATGAGCAAGAACATTCATGGTGATCAGTCCTCATTTTGAACTTTGGCCCACAATTACTTTTCTTTTAAAATTTTTCCCCATTTATCCAAGCAACGCTCTAACTTTCTCACCATATGTGAGATTTTTCTATTCTTGCCTGTGATGATTATATCTACACAACTAGAGTTTTGGGATAGTTAATTTGACCTTGGGACTGTATTTAAGGGTAGAAACCTCCATAGGGGTGATATACCATATTTTTCCATGTAGAAGACGTTTTGTTTTTTTGTGTTAGTCTTAAATTGGGGGTCGTTTTATACACGGAATGTCATTGCAGGGGTTAAAAACCCCACTTGTGCTCAGTACCTAAGCGAAGATGGCGCCTGCTGCATTTTAGTGTACCACGGCCCACACATATACCTGGCCCCGCAGCCCCATAGTGAGAGCAAGTCTGTATTATAGAAAAACTGAAGATGGCGGAAGATCCTGCCATCTTATAACCACAGACCATGTTGCGCTCGCTCCCATTTAGAACCCCATTTATCCAGGATCCAGGTTATTGGCCCAGAGTAACATGAAGCAGGGCCTGGGTAGACTTTACATCACATGATCCACTTCTGAATGCTGTGACAAGGAGGAAGAGGTCCCTGTGTGTGTGGGAGCTGCAGCAAACGTCAGCACTTGCCACCAATGGAGCTCCAGAGAAATGCCACACCATAAAAGGAGCAGCCATATTAAGGTATGCTCCACCTCAGGTAGGTCTTGCTTTCTGATTTATATTTATGGGGGGAGGAAATGGGGATCAGGGAACAGAGGGGATACTGCTGTGATGTCCCAGCATGCCCTCACACCACCTGCTGAATTGTGGGAGCTGTAGTCTCCCAGCATGCACTGTGGTGCGATTAACTTCACAGAGTACCGTAGCTCAGGGGAAGCATGGGAATAAGAAGTGTGTTGCTCTCCTCAGAAGTCACCACTGAAAACTTGTTCTATTTGAGGTTTAAAATATTTTATTTAAAATTTTGGGCTAAAAAAAGGGGGTCATCTTAATCATGGGGGCGTCTTGTACACTGAAAAATATGGTACATTATGATCACATAGGTCTAGAATTATAATATATAACCCACAGGAAATGACCTGTGGTCATAAACCTTTTGTGGCAGTGAACGAAGTGAAGTATCAAAAACCTTTAATTTGTTCCTAAAATGCCCTAACTTCCTAACCTGCTAAAAAATGGATTCAGTTATCCTGGGCCTCACAGCTGCATCAGTTCAGGAAACGTGACTCACACAGCAAACAGACCTCACTGCTGTCTAACCAATGGTATACAGGTAAAGCATGTTTACTGCAGAATGACCTGATCCCCTGGAATCCAGTGTGTATGTGGTACAGGTAAAGGAAATGCAGAATCCCAGATTCGGTTTTTAGTGGCAATTTATTTAAATTATGAGGAAGGATGAAATACAGAGGAAATGGTGTATATATGGCACAGTTGAGAGACATGAAAAGTTGCATAGCACATGCAAGCATTTTTATGTTGACAATGCAAGCATTTTTCTCCCCCTATGCTACTGAAGGAATTCACTGGTTGTATTTTATTAAAATTTTTCTAAAACAAGCACTGTTTTGTGGAAATGTGAATAATGCATAGGCTTACATGTTTTTTAATTACTTTTAGTTTATCCATTATGTATATAGCATCAAAAAGTGATGTAATGCTTATGCCATCCTCCATTATTGTGCAAAGGCCACAAGGAGACCCCCAAGTCTAAAACTAGCTGCTAGTAATATCCACTTATGAGAAGAATTAGCATCTTCAAGTAAAAGATAAATAGCCATTTATAATGAAATAATAGGATTACATCAAAATTGCAAACTATACAGACATATTAGTATTCCAAATCCAGGTAGCTATTTATTTTTCTTTTCAATTTGATCATAATAAATCATTATGTAGTTCTGGAAACTCTGTATAAAACAGCAAACCTTCATAAGAAATTGACTTATTTTCCCTTCCATAGTTGTTTTTCAGTAGGTCCTTACCAAGTATTCCCATGATTTTGTTCATACAGTAGACCAGGGGTACCCAAAAGGTAGATCCCCAGGTGTTTTAAAACTACAGCTTCTTTGATACTTTGTCATTCTAATGGTATTCTAAAGGCATCATTGGAGTATTAGCTCTACAACATCTGGGAATCTACCTTGTCACTATGCATGTCATTGGTTATAAAAATGTTGATATTTATAATGGCTATTGGTAAATGTAGCACCTTGCAGCTGTATCTATGCTAAAACAAATTGTGTTAGTGACGGGTAAATTAGTAATTGCTTTAAGTTTTAAAGGACTACTAAAGTCACTCAGACCACTTCATTGAGCTATGCCTTCACCTTAAAGGGACTCTCCGGTACCAGGAAACCATATCTGTTTTCCTGGCACTGCAGGTTCCTGCAATGCCCCCCACCCACCCCCATCCCATGTTGCTGGAGGGGTTAAAACCCCATCAGTGATTTACCTGAATCCAGCGCCCATGTCCCTCGGCGCTGGGTCTGGCTCCGCCCCTGCTCCTCCCCCACGACATCAGCCGGTGGGGAAGACCTAATGTGCGGCAATGGCCGCACGCATTATACCTCCCTATAGGAAAGCATTATTCAGTGCATAGCGTGAGGACGTCCAGCGTCGTTTAAAACACTTTTTGGGTTTTAAGAACCCGGAAGTCCCTCTAGTGGCTGTCATATAGACAGCCACTAGAGAACACTTAACCCTGCAAGGTAATTATTGTAGTTTATAAAAACTGCAATAATTACACTTGCAGGGTTAAGGGTGATGGGAGTTGGCACCCAGACCACTCCAATGGGCAGAAACATAGAATGTGACGGCAGATAAGAACCATTCGGCCCATCTAGTCTGCCCAATTTTCTAAATACTTTCATTAGTCCCTGGCCTTATCTTATAGTTAGGATAGCCTTATGCCTATCCCACGCATGCTTAAACTCCTTTACTGTGTTAACCTCTACCACTTCAGCTGGAAGGCTATTCCATGCATCCACTACCCTCTCAGTAAAGTAATACTTCCTGATATTATTTTTAAACCTTTGTCCCTCTAATTTAAGACTATGTCCTCTTGTTGTGGTAGTTTTTCTTTTAAATGTAGTCTCCTCCTTTACTGTGTTGATTTCCTTTATGTATTTAAATGTTTCTATCATATCCCCCCGTCTCGTCTTTCCTCCAAGCTATACATGTTACGATCCTTTAACCTTTCCTGGTAAGTTTTATCCCGCAATCCATGAACCAGTTTAGCAGCCCTTCTCTGAACTCTCTCTAAGGCAGTGATGGCGAACCTATGGCACGCGTGCCACAGGTGGCACGCCGGGCCCTTTCTGTGGGCACGCGGCCACAGATTCGCCATCAATGCAGAGTAGGCGCCTGCCGAAACGGCAGGCGCCTTCTCTACTTCCGGGTCGGGAGGCAGGGGGAGGGCTCCAGGAAGCCGCTCCCCTGTCCTCCCGCGCGATGCTGTGTGGAGCGTTGCCGCGCGTTACCACACAGCATTGCGCGGGAGGACAGGGGAGCTGCTTCCTGGAGCCCTCCCCCTGCAGTGCTTACCACCACCGGACCACCAGGGATCGCTGTGTCCCCCCCCCCACTTCATTAAAGGTAAGAAGGAGAGGGGGGGGTACTGACACACAGCACCCTTACCCCCCCAGAAGTAGCCCTACCCCCCAGCACCCCTACCCTCCCCAGCAGCACCCCTACCCCTCCCCAGCAGTACCCCCTACCCTCCCCAGCAGTAACCCCTACACCCCCAGCAGCACCCCTACCCTGCCCAGCAGTAACCCCTACCCTGCCCAGCAGTAACCCCTACCCTCCC